CTGTGAAGGTAACTTTCTCCCTTTCGCGCGCTTCTTCAGCCATAAATCCAAATAGAAACGAGATTTGAATTTACAAGGATTTATCGAATTTACGACGTAAATCCACAAATCCTAGATTTACAGATTTGCCGAATTTACAACGCCATTTTTGCATTTGGTTGGATTTACCATAAATCCTACTTAAAACAGGAAATAAATCTAATACCAAACACACCCCCTAGGTGTCTAGGAAACCATTTAGGGTATACAAAATAATGTCCTTAACATCAATAGTGAATCCAACTACAACAATGGCATCAACCTTCTATTTAACTTTGAAAAGATATTGAACCCTAGTTGTCCTTCATTTGTAATTACTAAAGTTCATTCTTCAACTATAACACATGAAAATGATACGTGGATTGCACCCAACATTCAATGGTGCTCCAAATGTCATGGCAAAAATCAAGGTTAAGCACATAGGGGAGTAAGAATGGGTGAATCATCAAATAAAGTGCTACAAATAAAATTTGATCTATAAAGGCCCATGTAAGGAATTGAGGATTGGTGGTGGTGTTCTCCAGCAAACGAGTTGTTTGGGTTGTTTTAGAATAGTACCATCTAGATATCCTTGAAACTCATTAGCCAAAAATAGCTTTATAATTTGGGATTTCCAAAGCGAATGATTGTCAAAGGTGAGCTGAAAATTGATTACCGTTTTGATGTTTGACATGAGGAAGTATAAGTATATCACTCAAAGTGGGCGATGCCCCAGCGTAAAGAAAACTTAAAAGAGTCGATGGAGGCCATGAAGACGCCAACAAAGAAAAGCAGAAAACAAAATAATGAGAAGGATTTCTCATGAAGGAACTTGCTCTGATACCATGATGAAAACTAATATGGTGTTTCACTGATGCATTAAGACTAACTATATAAAGGTGATATTATCTAGAGAAAGAGATGTTAATCCATACAACTTCAACTACAATTCATTCATACACAGAGAAAAAACATAAGATTAGTTATACAGCAATGGTGTGAAGATTAACTGTACAGGTATCAAATAGTAAAGAAGATACCAGGCTGAGTAGGAGCAAAAAAGATTCGAGAATATCATGACACAGCAAATGCAGAAGGCCAAAACCAAATATAAGTGGACTTACCTAATGTGTTGATCATTTATCAACAATAATCATGATAATTTAACATACAAATGTACCAATATTCATGTTGCACGAGAAAAGAATCTGATCAACAAAATGTATATTTTATAGCACTTCCTAACATTAGAAAGAAGTCGTTTAATCGACAAAACGTTAGAAGCTACGTTAATACTATCTGGCATTAAAGATAAACAAGGATGTCTCAAATCACAAACAAAATCGCCATTTCTAACTATGAAAACATCCTAAAATATTTCCCAAAAGAAATCTCTACGCTTTCTTGGGGGACTTTTTTGCCTTCGTGGGCGATTTAGCCTCATTAGCCTCTTTAGCCGCAGTCTTCTTTGGTAACAAAACAGGGTTTATATTTGGCAGGACTCCTCCATGAGCAATAGTCACACCAGATAAAAGTTTTCCGAGCTCCTCGTCATTCCTCACTGCAAGCAACAAATGCCTAGGAATAATCCGACTCTTCTTGTTGTCTCTTGCAGCGTTTCCGGCCAACTCCAACACCTAATTGACCATCATTTGAAGAAATCAGTACTTCGAAGATAAGCATTGAATATATCCGAACGAAAGAAGACCTACCTCAGCGGCAAGGTATTCGAGGACAGCCGCGAGATAAACAGCGGCGCCGGTGCCAACACGCTTGGAATAACGGCCGTTCTTGAGAAAACGAGCAATGCGGCCAACGGGGAATTGAAGGCCAGCCTTGACGGAGCGGAGAACCTTCTTCTTCGACCCGCCACCCTTGCGGCCGCCGGCCGCTTTCTGCGTCTTAGCTGTTTCCATTGATCGTATTTGCCGAACTCTTAAGACCTCTCTGAAAATACGGAAAGAAAATAGGCGATCAATTGAAACAAACGATGAGCGGGGTTGCTGAATTTATAGGAGCTTATGGAGGAGGGAGTTTTCATGGCCCGTTAGATTTTCTTCAGGTGGAGGGCTGAGATTCTCTGATTGGTGGTGATCCGTGGCTCTATTTAAATACCAATCAAAACAATGGCAGCTTTCGGTTAAGGCCACTACTATGGTTACAAGCTGCCACTCTTTTTGATAAAGGTGGATGCAGGCAGACTACGCAACACTTAAGATTTAATTTTATTTTTTTTTTAGTTTAAGTACAAACTTAAATAAATTGAACTCTTTAATATTAAAAAAGAAATAAATAATAAGCACTAAATAATAGAGATAAATAAAAACTAATTTGATAAAAATTATATTAAAATAATGATAATATAACAAATAAGAACTTACTATTTGTTGCAGTAAAGTAGGAAAATGAATTTGTAAAAATTGAATATCTTCAAGAAGAATATATATAAAAATATGAGTAAATAATAGGAAGATGATGGTAGTGGAAGATTAAATTAGTAGAATGTATACCTGAATTAACTATTATTGTAACTTATGTGTAACGCTCTAAGACTTAAATCTATAACCTATCACTATACCATTATGATTACATAGAATAATATAAAACACAATAAAATAATTTAAATATGAAATTTACTCTAATTAATCATACAAAGCATCTCCTCTTTCTGAATCTTAAAATCAGTTAAATCTACATGATGATCGCACAACCTAACAAACATCCAAAATCCACCACTATATCAATGCAAGGTCTCAAGAATTAATATGCATGCTCAACTCGATTAATATAAAAGTAGTGAGCATCAATACGAATTCAACGATCAATATCAATATATTAAAATTTTAATATGATTAGTAAAATAAAAGTATATCTAGAAATGCAGGAATGTGTCATCATATAAGAAAATTAATAATTTTCTATAAAAAAATAATATCATGTGTTATATCGTAAAATATATGTTAGTTGTTTATCAATTATATTCAGGCAAATGATTTCATCATATATTTTCTATCAATAATCATATCATGTGTGCATGTCTATTTATATGTTATACCGATGTATTATATCTATATGATCAGCATTGTCGATATGAGTGAAATCATGTCTTGTATTTTTAGGGAGAGAATAAATCAAGCGCATGCATGACCCTTAAAAGTAGCATAAAAAACTTTGATAATGAAGTGCATACGAAGCTCGTTGTATAAGCAAGATACTCATGCAATGATTAATATGCTCATATGGATCAAATAACCCATCATAGGGATTAATAGTGGGTAATTTGAAACCTGCTGACAAGGATGTTGGAGAATTTTTTTGTTAGGGGAGATGAATCTTGGAAGTTGCGTTAAGGATTAAATTGGTTTTAATCTCTTATTAGAAATTCCTCTTGTAGAATAAATCATAGGTCATATTGTATAACATCATGATGAGTATCTATAAGTCGAGATTGAGTTAAATCAAACAGAATTGACAGCTAATTTTGCATTCATTGAGCTCAATGAAGAGAATGGGTTGAGCTTGTAGCATCACCAACTTTTGGAATAAACTACGGGGGAGGCGAAGCATCAGCACGATGTTGAGGGTATCCTTCACAAGCATCTTTAAATTTCCCACCCATATTGTGTTGATGATATTGTATGAAGAAAACTCCATTATTTTATCATGATACACTTTATTGATCGACTTCTTCCATTCTTTATGTGTAAAATATTATTTTCACCACTACAAGCTTGACAGAGATTATGGATTTATATGTTTGGAATCACATTAAAAATAAGAATTTTATTAGAAAAGATACTTAATTTACGTTCATAAATTCAAAACACTTAATTTAAATATTGTATCCATTATTTTACTGTTTTTATTCAGTGATTGAATTTCCAAGATCAACAATTTTATTTCAGTAGGATAATTTTGTAATTAGAGTAAATAATAGTTGTTGATTACTGAAATACATACTTTTTGTGGGTTTGACACTCTACTCTATCACTTTATTATTTGATTTGACATATATACTTGCGTATATTAAGTGGGGGTTATTTTTTTATATATCAAACAAAACCTAAGTATTGTCTAGGGGAGATAGAGTCTTTAATATTTTTTTTATAATTTAAAATCGCACTCCACAGTAACCTAACCATCCCCCCATCAAAAATCAAAAAAGGGAAAAATTTATGGGGCTTGACCCAACTGAAAAAATTTCCATGTAGTAAGTGATATAAGAATTCTCTTTTTTTCACTGTTGAGAAATAGGGGGATTAAAAAGATATATGATTATTCCTGAGAGATTACAAAAATCAAGTGTTTATAGAGGAACAATTAACATCCAACTACATAGCTTGATTTATTTAAGAGAGTATAAAAAGTAGGTGTTCATAGGCGAATAGCTATACGGAGGCTATACCCAACAACATGGTTAAATATTTTCAGTATTCTAGAGATGATGACGATTTGTGATGTTGATCGTTGATAGTGATGGTGGTTACTGGTGTCAATAACTAGCTAGTGGTGGTCATCAACGACGATAACTGGAAAATGTAAGCAAGCTCTCTCTAGTTTTGTCTTATCTTCCTCTTATCTTCCCCTCTGTTCATGTGGAGAATGAGCTCTATTTATAGGTATTTTGGCATGTGCATTTTAGTAATTTGAATCATAATCCAAAACACAACATCATACAACACATATTGATTTCCTTGATTTTGAAACATTTATTATGCATTTAAGTGCCTTAGTGATGTCAAAATTGAATTATATTGGGCACATTAGATTCGTCTCATTTAGATGTTTGACTCGACTATAAGCATGCATAATTTGAAAATTATTTGATCATCCAGTTAATATTTGAAGTTTTTAACCATACTTTAAGTGCTTGATTTGGGCTCGGATTGGACAACCTTTGCTACAGTCAGGTTTGTCTAATTGAGACGTTTAGTTTGACTATAAACTTCTTGTAATTAGAGTTCATATGATTTTGAATTTAATTTCATAAGTTTATAATTCCAATTTTGCTTAGGCATTCATGTCAATTTTTAGATTTTTTATAGATATATATCAAATATTATCATGTTCTTATTCATTTTTAAAGTTTATCAACTTACATTTTATTGGCTCTTCTTTATGGGTGGCTCGTCCTTTTTTTTATTATATAAATACTATAAATAATCTACGCCGATGAATGTGTATGATTAAATATATTTAGATGAAAATCAGAGTGTTAAAACTTTTGAGAGAAAAATTGGTGGTTGAATCTCTAGTACTTAAACTTGTCCAACGATAATTTTCAACTACAACTTTTATGATCGGTTAGTTTTATGTTTGCTTGTTTAAAATTGTTCTCTCACTATAGAAGTATTTTCCTGCACTTCCTCTAACCCTCCAAGACCAAAGCCCATCATCCCCTTAAAAAAAAAAAATAAAAAAAAAAAAGAAGAAGAAAGGAAAAAAAAACTCAAGATTACAACACTAGGCCAAATTGAGCTTTAATTGACCTAATATGAGTTTTGCCTCAGCTTGCACAAACCTAAAATCCCTGGGAACTCATAAATTTGAATAAAAAAACTAATAAATAATACAAATTTGAATAATATTAAACTCATATCAAATTTAATAAATAAACTAAAGTTATTTACAGCATAGGCTCGTAATCACAACTTCATTAATTATAGGTACCATTGCAAATATCTTAAGCACGTGTCCGAATAACGCGCAATAGGTCGCACGCTTATGGACGCAGCGGCGAACCGCGCGCGGAAGCCGTACACAACTTTAATTATTCCTAAAGAATCACAGCGCAGCGGAGAGGGAAAGGCGCGTCTCCAACTCTCCTACGATTCTTCCGATCGTAGCTGCGCTTGCAAACCTCTTTCATCGGAGAGATCCGTCCTCTCGCTGGCGCAGCCCTAAATTCTATCCCGCGATATCTCTCCGCCGCCATTCGGCTTCTGATCTGCGAAAATGGTTTCTTCTTTTCTGCTCCAGTCTTTTTCTTTCCCCAGCACCCCATCTTTCTGGTTTTGCTTGTGTTATTGTGTTTTCTGGATTGGATCTACAACCCGGGCTTTGAAGACTGTCATATTTTCTAAATCTGTTTGAAAATTGTGGATTCTAGTCTGCTTATGGAACTCTACGTGTTTATTTATTTTTGTGGTGTCATAGATCTGATGAAGTAGTAGCAAGGTGCTGTTAGAAAATATATGAAATGTTTTATGGAGTTGATATGCTATGGATGGGTTTTGTTGATCTGAATGCTTGATCAACGGATATTGTGAATTTTCCGTGGATATTAGGGGAAGTACGTATCGGTTTGGAGATACATACGCTCTAGAATGTAGAGGACCAGCGGTTGTAGTGTTGGTTTTGTAGGATAGTTAATTAATACCGTCTGGTTTGTAAGGATTGTTTTTTTTTTTTTTTTGTAGAAAGTTGGTGATTTGATTTTCCTTTGGTTACATTTCCCAGTTTCTGGCAGAGTTGGCTAGATCGGATGATTTAATTTGTAAATTGTTTTGATCCCAAAATTGAGCAACTTAGATTGGTTTACATTTTATGGTTTAAGCATATTCTTTTATTCTTTGGCTGGCGCCATGGTGGTTCATTTGTCATGACTGCAATGTTTTTTTCCTTAAATTGATGCTTTAGGCTAATGCGGCATCAGGAATGGCTGTGCATGATGAGTGCAAGCTGAAATTTCTGGAATTGAAGGCAAAGAGAACCCACAGATTCATAATTTATAAGATTGAGGAGAAGCTTAAGCAAGTCATTGTTGAGAAGGTGGGTGAACCTTCTCTGACCTATGAGGATTTTATCGCTAGCCTTCCTGCTGATGAATGCAGATACGCAATCTATGACTTTGATTTTGTGACTGAAGAGAACTGCCAGAAAAGCAAAATCTTTTTCATTGCATGGTAATATTTTATCCTGTAGTTTCCACTAGTTTAAAAGCTTTGCTGTCGTTGAGATCCACTTTGTTTCTCTTTCAAAGGTCGCCTGACACGTCCAGAGTGAGGAGCAAGATGATTTACGCAAGTTCAAAAGATAGGTTTAAGAGAGAATTGGATGGTATCCAGGTTGAATTGCAAGCTACTGACCCCACTGAGATGGGCCTTGATGTCATTAAGGGCCGTGCTAATTAAGGCTTTGTTTGGGACAGCTTTTTATTGCTTCTTAAAACGGATTTTTTGTTAAAAAATTAAAATTTTTTACTTAAATTCAGTTTTAAGAAGCAATAAAAAAGCCGTCCCAAATGAAGCTTAAGTTTGATGATCAGGCTTTGCAAATGGTGATTTCTCTTTTCAGTATGTGGTTTATTTAATGCAATGTTTATAGTTTCATGGGATGCTAAATTTTCTAAATGTTATATGGGCTTGTTATTGTTGTTGCAATATAATTCTCCTTGCTCTTGAGGTTTCCATTGATATGGCTGCTGTATTATTTTATTATCTTGAAGGAACCTATACTGAATATTTTGTTGTGCCCTGTTGACTACAACAATGATATGTAATAGTTTGCGGCCTAGGCTCCTAGCTGCTTATGAAAACCTCTTGCTTCTCATTTAACTGATGCTTGACCATTATGGTCTTATCATGATTCGAAATGGATAGGATATATACTGCAAATCTGTATTTTTAATAGCTTCATTTTACTTTATTATTCCGCAATCCTGAGATTATTTATTTGTTTTGGTTTGGTACATGACCACTTGTTTGATTTCACGTTTACAAGATTTTTGCATCTTCATTTGGCAATGAACTTATCATATGATTTTCGAAGTCTTTTTTTATTAAGGGTTAATTCGGACATTTGGGTAGTGAAACTGTGTTGTGTAAATGAATAAGCAGACAGGAAAAAAATTTTGTAACCACCCAAAAAACGTGGTTTAATAATAAGGAATTACGGTTAAATTTGTCTTCCAAACAGTTACGACGAACTGATTAAAGCTTATTCAAACGGAAACATAGGAAATAAATCTAATCAAACGAGGCCTATGTCCGATGACTAGTTGTGCTCATGCTTTAGCATTTTGTGTTTGAGAGTAAGTCATGACCTCTTTCTTTTTTTTTTTTTCAAACAAAACTTATGTTAATTATTTTGGGAGAATTTATTTATTCAAAAATCTAATGTTGAAATTTAACAATGACATGGTGAAAAACTTGTTATCAAGTTGAATTCTAAGGCCCAAAATACCATAGTAAATTTAAAATTATGAATCGAATTCAATTCCAATTGAATTTATGGAGTTTTCAAGTTGAAATGTTTAAATTTGTTAGGTGTTTGTTGTAATAGCCCAAACTCCTAGCCATCAAAATATTGTCTATTTTGGCCTGATGACCACACAATTTTTGCCCCTTTGATATAACTTCTCATGAGGTCACACATCTCAAGACTATTCTTGTACAATCATATTTAAATTTGAACTTTCTAATGAAATTTTAATTTAAGAGTTCAACTTCACTCTACTTAAGGGGTTTAATAATATTTCACACTTAAGAAGCTGACATCCTTGTCAATGTTTTTAGACCGAATCATCGACTAGGTAGACATGATTTTAGATGTGGCCCTTCCAAATTCAAGATGTGGCTCCCACTATGTAGCATTTTATCTCATCTAGAGTTCAAGAAATGACTTCAATGTTTTACCACTTCATCCTATACGACACTTAGTTCCCATCTTTCAGTTGACGTATTGTTCTAATATTATTTGTAATAGCTCAAACTATTAACTGCTAAGATATTATCCCATTTGTCCTAATTGCCACATTATTTGTTCCCTTGGTGTAATATCCTAGGAGATCACTTATCTCAAGAGTACTCTCATAATAACCCACTTAAGTTTGTTACTTAAATGAAATATCAACCGTTGCACTAAAATGCATTTCAATGGAGTGTAATTTTAATAGTAATAGACCTAGTGAGAGGATTGTGGCTTTGGGCGATGAAGTCGTTAATAAAAGTACATGTTTTAAATATTTTGGATCTATTTTTCAAAGTGATGGTGAAATAGATGGGGATATTATCAGCAAAATTCAAGCTGGGTGGTTGAAGTGGAGGAATCCATCGGGCTTGTTGTGTGATAGGAAAGTCCCCCTCAAACTTAAGGAAAAATTCTATAAGATGGTGGTGAGACCTGCAATGCTTTATGGTGCCGAATGTTGGCCATTAAAAGAGAAGCATAATACTAAGTTAAGTGTTTACAAAGATGAGGATGCTCAGGTGGATGAGTGGCTTTACCCTTAGAGATAGTATATGAAATAAGCATATACGTGAAAAGGTTGGAGTAGCGCCAGTGGAAGATAAGATTAGAGAGAGTCGTCTTAGATGATTTGGTCGCAGAAAACGGCGGCCTTCCGATGACCTGGTTAGGAAAGTAGATGTATTACATTTGACTTATGTTAAGAAATGTAGAGGTAGACATAAAAAGGCTTGTTTATAAAATATTAGAAATGATATTTCTTTATTAAGATTAAATGAGATTTGACCTTTAACATGACACAATGAAACAGAAAAAGAATTCATGTAGCCGACCTCACATAGTGGGACAAAGACTTGTTGTTGTTGTTGCACTAAAATGCATTTCAATATTTAAGAGTTTAGCTTAATTCTATTTATGAGATTTCATAATCTCTTTCACTTAAGCAATTAATATTAGATTTTCCCATCATGATGCCGCAATTTGATTCATTAATTTCTTCGCCAAATACGAATATATTTTTCATTTTCTTCATTACTCTTGCCCTTTTGCTTAACCATCAATATACTTCCCCCCTTAGTGTAAATTTATATGAGGTCACCTATCTTAGAAGCGCTCTGTTGTAATACACTTATTTTAGAGTTTTGAATGAAATTTCAACTGTTACATCAAAATGCACTTCAATATTTAAGAGTTTAGCTTCATTCTATTAAAGAGATTTCACAATCTCTCACACATAAGTAAATATTGTTGGATTTTTCCATCATGATGCCACATTTTAATTTAGAAATTTATTTATTGAGATCGGGTAGTTGTTGGGATCAGGCAATCAGCTCTATGCTGACTAGAACAATTGGACTTGTTCTTTATGAGCCAACAGAACAAAGCCCAGCATTTGGTACCCATACCCAATACTTAACATCAATAGATAAACCGATTTACATTGTTAATCACCGTATGCTGTATATTACCACAATCCTCACTACGCAGTGTGCAACACTGAACCGTATTGTGACCATTAGTAAATTCTAATATGCAACTTGAAAGTTTGCAGAGCAAAGGGCAACAAGCATCAAGGCCATTAGTCCATGACGGTATGCTTTCAAAAAGCGTGGAAAGTGGGTGGGTATAACATTTTAAAAGTCATCATGGGTGGGCAGAGTCCACCCGCGCAAAGCGTGGGTACCGAACCAGGATCCTATGAAGGGCTTTGCAACAGAATCATGGGAGGTCATGACGGCTGCAATATTGCTTGGTTAAAACAAAAGAATTAGGGAGGCTTCATATAATTTTCGCTAGATTTTATGTTGTAAGAGTAATTTTGATTTGAGCATGTAGAGTTCTTTCATGGCTTTTCTTTTTTCTGCTTTTTTCCAAATGTTTCTGAATTGCTGCAGAATTATCGTTGATGTGTTATGTGTGACTACAAAAACATGTTTAGATGAGCGAGGAGAAAGCATTTTGATTTTTCATGTTAGAAATGCATCCCCTTCTGTATTAGTTCGATTACAAAATGTTGCAAGTTTTATGTGGTTCTTTTTTTCATGTTTTGCAAGTATTCGAGTATATGTTGTCGTCATATAATTGATTGAGCTTAATAATTCTGATTATAGTCTTTCCTTCTTCAATTTACATCCTTTTTTTGAAAAAATTACTGCGTTTCAACTATTCATTCGATATCTAGCCCTTCCTGTGTAAAGCGTTTCAGTAAAGATGTGGAACAGTGAAGTTTCATTGTTATGTTATTGTCAAGTTCTGGTAAATTTAAGGTCTAACTGTTGTGTTTTGCTGCAGTATAATTTATTTTTGAAGTAGGTTTTTTCTTTTCTTGTTACCCACCGAAGGTTAGGGTGATTGGTGGGTGAGCACGATTGAGAACTTCTCATCCTGGGTTCGAATCTCCCCTACTACGGCCTCGTCTCTTCAGTGGGTCAAAGTAAGGGTGGGCTTGATGCCGGTGAGTGGCCTCGCTAGATTCCACCCGAGGGATTAGTTACGCTCCCAAGCGCTCCCTTTGGAGTGGCAGCAGATGGATATCCCCATTCTCGAATAAAAAAAAATCTTTTCGTTATGATTTACATCTCTTGAGAGTTTGGTGATGCTCAGAGTTTGTTTGAAGTTTTATTAAAATTATTTGCATAAATTTTGTAGTTCAAATGCACTCAAAATACTAAAAAAGCTCTTTTCTATGTTCAAACTGAATTTGTATTTATTCAAAAAAAATATCATTTTTTGCCTCTTCTCGAAATAAAAAGATAATTAATAAATTATTTAGTATACTGTAAAATTGTTTTTGACCATTTAGGTTTTTCATTTCATATAAGTGTTTTTTTCTTAATAGTAAGCATGGATCGATCATTTAGGTTTGGATTAATTTTTTTCTTATTTTATTTTTTAAGTTATAGATAATTTCATATTATAATTTTTAAAAATGTTTGATGGGAAGTTAATTTTTGCAATTAGAGTTAAATATGTGCTAATTTTTTTAAAAATTATATATTGATAACATTCATAATAATTTAATAAATTATTTTACCATCGCTTTGTTTCGGCTATAAATTTTCGTTCTGCTTTTCGCTTACCACATTAAACATTTAAAATATCGAACTCTTAACTGTTTGAAAATTGAAGGTTTTGTTTTCTTAACCCTTTTGGTATCTGTTTCGGAATGAAATAAATTACTATATAAATAATATAGTGAAATATTTTCACAACAAATCCATAAAATATGGCATAAAGTTACTACTTCAAATCTAAGAACAAGAGAAACTTTTCTTCGTACGCTCAATTTTCATTCTAATTCAGCTTGTTAGAACACTTTAACGGGCCGATTGGTTGTTAAATTGGGTTAAGATTTAGCTATAATTTAATTTAAATTTTATCAAATAAATTTGAGTCATATAAATTCTATAATATTTTAAAACTGTATGTTTGTCAAATATTATACTAAAAATATGACTTAACATGTTGCACTCTTTTTCTCTTTATCTGTATGCATGCTGGATCTTTGTACAAAATTAAGACGTTAAACTTATATTCGTGGCGGTGGAGATATATAAAATTTAACGTCTTAATTTTGTACAAAGATCCAACACGCATACAAATAAAAATAAAATGTGCAACAATATATAATAACTAAAATTTGAATGTCATTGATGTAATTTCTACAAAACTCTATTTTCTTATTGTTTCTACTACCGCAAGAAGCCTATCCATTCAGATATGCCACTTCGTAAATTTGGCTTTCTTTCTCCTCTTCGTATGTTTGGCCAAGAAACGCCAATTTTTGTTCCCGGAAAGTTCTGTAGCTCACTTCGCTTTCAAATCCATAGTCCCCTTCCTCACCTCAACCCTGCTTCATCCTTGGACTTCGAATCTGGAAACCAAAGCTGCAAATCGATATGACACTTATATTTCTCCGGCTTACCGCCTATTCCAATTTTCCCTCGTCGATTGGAGGCGGATGACCTTCATTTTTTGCATTCCAAGTGTTTGAGCGTGTGTCTCAATGGCCTTGCTTTCGTCAATAAACTACAATCACCGACTTCCAATCCCGAAGTCCATCACCAATCCTCAATCTTTCTCCCAAAAGCAAGATGCAAGTTTCCCATTCGCATCCCTTCAAGGTCAACAAGTGCTTGCTACCCGGATTTCCGATAAAACCCGAGGTCACCAAATCCCTCCAAATGATCTTGTCTTAATCCTCCGCCGCCAGAAAAATGCGGATTCTGCTCTCCAGCTCTTTAATTTGGCCTCAAAGCGGTCTGACTTCAAACCTGATGCTTCGGTTTATGAAGAGATCCTTCAGCAGCTCGGAAAGGCCGGATCTTTCGATCAAATGAAGGCTGTTTTGAAGGAAATGCAGCTTTCTGGCTGCCAGATTGAGCCTGGTATGTTTCGGATCTTTATTGAAAGTTTCGCAAAATTCGAACTGTTTAATGAGGCTGTAGATGTTGTTCTGAGAATGATGAAAGAGTTTGGGGTTGAACCTGATACCTGGAGTTTCAATTTTCTTCTGAATGTTCTTGTGGAAGAGAACAAGATCAAGTTGGTTGAATCTGTGTACTCCTCAATGACTGGTAGAAGAGTTCAACCTGATGTCTCTACTTTTAATATCTTGATCAAAGCTTTGTGCAAAACTCATCAGCTTAGACCAGCTCTTTCGATGATAGAGGAGATGTGTAGCTATGGATTGTCGCCTGACGAGATAACATTTACAACAATAATGCAAGGTTTTATTGAGGAGGGAAATATAGAAAATGCATTGTTAATTAGAGACAGAATGTTGGAGATGAAATGCATACCTACTAACGTTACAATAAATGTGTTGATTAATGGGTTTTGCAAGCAGGGAAGGGTTGAAGAAGCTCTCAGTTTTATACAAGAAGAGGCTGCTAATGGATTCAGCCCTGATAAGATCACTTTCAATACTCTGATTAATGGTTTGTGTCGATCTGGACATATTAATCATGCTCTTGAGATCTTAGATGTGATGCTTCAGGAGGGTTATGATCCTGATATTGTGACCTACAACACAATGATAGCTGGGTTGTGTAAAGCTGGTGATATTGAAGAAGCCATGGAAGTTCTTGAACAAATGGTTAAAAGAGACTGCTTGCCAAATATGATCACATACAACACTGTTATCAGTTCTTTGTGTTCTGAGAGCCGATTCGAAGAAGCAATGGAACTTGCTCGTGTTTTGACTCTTAAAGGTCTTCTACCAGATGTATACACCTTCAATTCTCTTATAAGTGGCTTTTGCAGGACTGGAGATCATGAGATTGCTCTTGAGCTCTTTGAGGAGATGAAGAAAAATGCATGTCGACCGGATGAATTTACTTACAACATACTAATTGATCATTTGTGTTTCAGAGGGGAACTGGGCAAAGCTTTGGGTTTATTGAAGGAAATGGAGTTGAATGGCTGTGCTCGAAGCGTGGTTACTTATAATACTCTAATTGATGGGTTATGCAAGAACTCAAGACTTGAAGAAGCTGAGGAGATATTTGATCAGATGGAATTGCTAGGGATCACCAGGAATTTGGTCACATATAACTCCATCATAGATGGTTTGTGCAAGAGCAAGAGAGTAGATGAAGCTACAGAGCTTATGGATCAGATGATCATGGAAGGGTTAAAACCTGACAAGCTCACTTATAATTCCTTGCTTACACATTACTGCAAGGAAGGAAACATAAAGAAGGCTGCAGATATAGTTCAAACAATGAAATCTAATGACTGTGAACCTGATATGATAACATATGGGACTCTCATAAGCGGGTTATGCAGGGCTGGCAGGATTCAAATTGTTTGCAAGCTTCTCAGAAGCTTACAGATGAAAGGTATGATACCAAGTCCAAAAGCTTATAACCCAGTAATACAAGCGCTTTTTAAACAGAGGAAGACCAGCGAAGCCATCAGGCTCTTTCGAGAGATGGAGCAGACAGCAGGAGCTCCTGATGCTGTCACATATAAGATCGTTTTCCGTGGTCTCTGTCTTGGAGGTGGGCCAATTAGAGAAGCTATTGATTTTCTAGAAGAGATGGTGAGGAAAGGTTTCTTGCCAGAAGTGTCTTCTTTCTCTATGCTAGCGGAAGGTCTTGCATCCTTAGCCATGGAGGATTCTTTAATGATGGTATATGATCTGGTCATGAAGAAGGCTATGTTTGAAAGCAGTGAAATGAACACGGTGAGGGGTTTTCTAAAGATAAGAAGATTTCAGGATGCACTAGCTGCCTTTGGCCAGTTGATGAAGAACAGAAGGCCTGGAAAATTTTATAGGTGAATGTGTATTGCATAGCAGTCGAAGACACATTGATCTGCTCTCTTGGAACCAGATGAGAAGTTTGAAATGAAAATGACGCTATATCTATTTTTTGTTGCATCTTAAATGCCAGAAAAAGCTCATGGAGTTTGATTACATCTTATGAAGGTAACATCTTTTGCATCATGAGAAACAACCGCTCTTAATTTTTGCCTTGTATTTTAAGCAGATACAGAATGCATTCTAGTGGAGTTATATGCTTAATGCAATATCAAAAGTTAAACCTGATCAACTCTATAGAAAAGGCATTTGATTCTACAAATTTTTTCTGCAATTTTCTGCGAGTTTTTTTACTTGAGGGTTTGTTTTTAAATGATCTCAAATAACTCGGTATGCTGAATATCTACACAATGTGCAGTGACGGAGAAGGAAAAATGTTATTAAATAAATATATTGATTTAGAACTGATTATTAGTACTCTTTTAGATGGAATCTTAAGAGACGAGAATAATAAATGATTTGGAGGAGGCATTTTTAGCAAAAATTAAAATGTTGAAATTGGGAATCAATTTTTTTTTTCTTAGGAAGGTGAGGTGAGGCATAAGCTTCAAATCAAGAATAGCATTCTTTCTTTGAGGTGGGTCTATCAAATCTTTATAGATGATGTGCCGACAAATTAAGAAGAAGAGAAATTTGTTTGTGAGGTGGAAACCACGTATACAAGACATTTGTATTACCAGAGCAACTTGGACAAAGGTAGCACAGAGTTTGTGGAGAATTACCTTGGCTTCAATTCTTCAAAGAAGAGTTCTTTGAGGCCCATGATATAACGCCCCAAGATCAAATTTTGAAAGAATTTACTATTTTAATTTATTCATTAATTAACCAGACTTTCTATGAATTTATCGTTATAAATAAATCCAGTGAAAGCAATTAATAATTATATAAATCAAAATATAAAACTATATTTATTTCTTAAAATTCATATACAATAGCCAAGAGTTCAACTTATTCATTCATAAGTCTATCTTTTAGCTATTGACTACAAAAGAATAAGACAAAAGAAAATGCAAAAAACAAAATAAAACCTGAATACCAAATTTGCCTCACTCCCCTGAATCCCAACCCCTTCCTGAAAAATATGTAAAATTACAGAGTGAGCTGACAGCTCAGTAGGTTATCAAAACCTATGATTGAAATCAATGTAGGATAATATGAACAATATGTATGTAATCATTCAATTACTATCAGTATGAACATGTAATTATAAAAGCATGCAATAATTAATAAAACAATAACAATCATATGATCAATAAACGTGAGTAAAACTAGAGCAGTGATCAATAACCAAGTGAACATATACAAAACCTCAGTAAAATATATCATTTTTATACCCATTTATTAAGAACAATTATATTTATCTTGGTTCAAGAAATCTATATATCTATCATAATTAAATGCATGTCATGCAGTGTCTATGTTATGCATGTATATCATGTAAATCATGTGGTTTATATATATCAAATATCTTTGTATCAATTCTATCATTCTTATCAAATACTTGTATCACTCATAGCATATATCTTATATAAATTATATCATGTCAATTATACAATTTATCATATATATTTCTATCATATGCATATACAACTACTATAAGAAAGAAAAGACATTCAGCTATTTGTGACGTTTTTCTTGTATTCAGTCCTCTAGGCCAATCCTACAAGAATCAATCTTAATCATAAATCATTTAGGTCAGGTGACTTTCATATCAAAAGTCGTTACTTCTTACATGTTGGCGTATCATATCATATCAATCTGTCTCATTATGCCTCCCTTTTTAATATTATTATTTTAAAGGAAAGTCCATCTGCCCACTCTTATGTACAAACCCATAGGGTAATATGTCTCCAGCCAACCTGAATCAGTCAATAATATTTGTCCATCCTTTCTTACATACACACATTTCATAGCTTATATAATAAAATAAACATATAATAACACACTCGATGTTCAGTCACTGTATCATCTTAATGCATGTAAAATTTACATATGAATCAAAATTAATAAAATTTATAGGAAAATGCAAAGTGCTCTTTTTCACATTTATGTATCCACAATGATCAAATTATAACAATTATGCATGTCATAGAAGTATATAAAATGATTTGTAATAATTACCTCGCAAAAATTTAAAATTATCCAAATTATGATATTTTCTTCAAACTATAAAAGTACCTTTATAAAAATTCAGTATATTCATATCAAAATGCTCATATTGATGACATTTATCACATACTAAAAGCCATGCAGTAAAAATTTTATCCATATAAAATTATACTCGTTTTTTTATAACGAAATACAAATTTGATCGAAAAAATTTCAAAAACATCAAATAATTGAAATAAAAAATTGAATAATGGTTCCTTATAATGAGACAAGCAAATTTTTCACCAGGGTTGACGGACGAAAATCAATCTATGGCCTCCAAATCTAACCCTCTTTTCTCTCTCCTCAAATTTCTCTCTAATTTTCCCTTACATGCTCTCTGTTAGCTGATTTGAGTAGGGGAAGGGATTTTAATAAAGTTAGATGAAATGGCTTAAGATATTTATAAATAAAATAATAAAATAATATTATATAATTATATAATTTAATTAATTTTCAGTATAAAATTCATAGAAATCGTTTTAGGGCTTAAAAAATTATACAAAAATATTTATAAAATTGCCCAATTTATTTAGAAAATGTGTGAAATCGGTTTGTAAAATGGACACCTGAAGGTTCCAAAATCCTCACTTGTATCGATAGGTGTCAATTTCTAAAGGATTTGCTCCAATGTTAAAAATTATAATAAAATCATTATAATTAAAACATAATAATATCTATTTATGATGAAGACAATTTTCAAATTTTACTTATAATGACTACTAAAAAAAATCATTTGACTGGATTAAAATTTGGGTTATTAAATATGAGAATTGATGTGGTATAAGATGCCCATCAAAGATGAGATGGACAAATCACAAGATCCCAGAGCGAGGAGGCTGAAAAGATGCAATGACTAAGGACTAAGAGCAAAACTATTAAATAGAATTTGCTTTAGTCATGGATGTTCTTACTAGACATTTGCAAGAGTTTGTACCTTGGTGTATGTTTTTTGCTGATTATATTCTTCTTGTTGATAAGGCTAGAGAGAGAGTTCAAGGTAAACTTGAATTAGGGAGGTCAACCTTAGAGTCTAAAGGCTTTCATTTGAGTAGATTTAAAATTGGATGTATGGAATGTAATTTCAGTAATAATAATTCTTGTGGGGGGATTGTGACTTTGGGTGATCAAGTAATAATAAGAGTACACGCTTTATATATCTTGGGTCTATTGTTCAAAGTGATGATGAAATAGATGGGGATATTATTTGTAGAATTCAAGTTGGATGGTTGAAGTTGAGGAAAATTTTATATTTGGGCTTTGTTTTATCTTTTTTTTTTTTGGATTTAAGAATTTCACAAGTATAATAACATGACATACAGAACCCTTTTTAAAAAATCCATATTTACTCATGTTTTTCATCAATCAAAATTGCTTGATACTTACAATATATCATCTTGAGAGTTAAGCTCATGCTTTGATTCTAAGCGATTCAGCTATCCCTACACTTTAAAATCTCAGTTATCTTATCATGCAACCAGAGCCATTCATTATGATAATTTTGATGCATTTGATCGATGATCAAATGATTTTATAAATTCTTGGAATCATGCATGCTATTCGTTTTGATGTCCTTAAGGCCAGAGAATGATTAATTTTGGTCATGCATTTGAAGTTGATTATTGTATGACGAATTATGGTTTAGGTTTCTAGAATAATGCAATGAATGTTGATCACTTAAAAAAGAAATTTCACAAATCAAAGATTGCTAAATACGAAATAACTTGCTTTCCTTAAGTGCAAATCTTATAACATAGGAGTTTAAATGAAAATAATAATGCAATGATTGAATAAATATCAAAGAAATTAATGAAAATTCAAACCATGTAAAACCATCAAGCAATTGAAAAATTGTTGTCAAATTTGAAGTCTGAGTTGTGTGAGATTTGAATAAAAACTTTAACAAGCTAATAGTATAAATATTTCTAATAATTGAAGAAAATATATAAATAAAAGTGTTCAATAAAGTGAAGAAAATTCAAGTCCCTTGTAGCATAAGGAGATGACTTTTCTTAGAATTAGCATATCATATTGGTGACACACTCAAAGGAATGACACACACACACACTAGATTCAAATTGAAATTTGATATTTTATTGAAATTAAAACTAACTATTACATTTGTTTTAGGATAATTATTTATGGACTCATAATGATGCTCGTTTAGGAAGAATAAAAACAAAATTAAAAGTACCAATTTAAAACAATCTTTGATAAAACATTGAAAAAGTGTAGAAGTTTAAAGCTGGAATATACAAAAAAGTTTTGGAAGGTCAATCACCACAGTATATAAGCACAATGCACTTCGTCATCCAAGAAGAGCTAAAGCAAGTGGATAAGTCTATATCGAAAATAGCCAAAACTTGATGGGTAAGTCCAAACCAACAGTGCCTTAACGTGTTTTGTGAAAAGAAGCACGCCGCATTGCTTTAATAGGATATCCGAATTATTCCAAAACTATAGATATTGCTACAGGTCTACATGAATCGACTTTACATTCCCACATAAATCCATTTAATTTGGAAAAGTTAGACTTAGATGACTTGAATTTTAAATATTAATTCAGCAAATTTGTACAAAAAAATTGTGATTCTTACCAAGTAATTCTTGATTCAACGCAAATAAGTATTTCTTTCCAATGCATTATTATTCAAAATAGATTCAGGATGAAGCCATATAGAATTGCCTTGCATGGCTTGGATGCATGTACATAAGGAGGATGACAAGGTAAAGGGATGCAAGGAATTGATAATAAATTTATGAAATAAGATCAAATCAAACACATTAAACATTGAATTAATGCTTGAAATTCTTCAACTTTATAGTTTATAGATGTTAGCTCCAAAGTGTTGTGAGATTTTAAAGGGTCATATCTTTCTTGCATTTAATTTAGATGGAATACGAGTATCAGAAGCTTTCGCACAATACAAAGTTAGATTCAACACGTTGAATACTATGAAAATCCCATCATTCATAAGAATATCTATCTCTTACATATTATCATTTATATATTTCATATTCTTTAGGATTAATTTTTTTAAGAGTTCTACTTAAAAAGCTCTCAAATGTAACTAAAGCTAATTCTCCCTAAGTTCGCCTCAAATCGTTTTGTTT